TTTTTTGAGAATTGGGGTTTCAGCTGGGCCCGGTGACTCACACACCTGTAACCCTAGCATTTTGGAAGGCCAAGGTGGGGAGAATGCTTGAGCTCAGTAGTTTGAGGCCAGCCTGGGTAACATGGTGAAACCCCGTCTCAAAAAAAAAAATTGGAAAAAAAACCAAAGCTGTGGTCTCCCTTAGTTGCCCAAGTTGCCCAAGCTAGAGTGCAGTGGCACTATCATATCTCACTGCAGCCTCAAATTCCTGGGCTTGAGTGATTCTCCCACCTCAGGTTCCTGAGTAGCTGGGACTAAAGGCGGGTACGAACACACCCAGCTGATTTACCTATATTAAACAGGGGGCTTTGATGACAAATGATCCCCAAGCCCACGCTAACCTTTCACTTAAGTCCTCTGTCAAGCATTTTAACTGAGCTGCTCAAAAGACCAGGCTTACAAATTAGCAATTTCAGTTTGTTCCCTTTTTCCTCCTGGGGCCTAGGTATTCAATCAGGAAAAACTGCTTCCCAAACTGACACAGCTAGCTGGACAGCTTTTCTTAGAGCCCTTAGGAGACAGGGTCCTTTAGACTTCAGAGTTTTAGGAGAGAGAGCTAGGGAGTTCCAGATTGGTTTAGTTCTGAAAAATATACTAGGTATCTCTAAAGAGGGGAGGCATAATAAAGATTAGACAGGCCAGGCACAGTGGCTTCATGCCTGTAATCCTAACACTTTGGGAAGCCGAGGCAGGAGGGTCACTTGAGCTCAGGCACTCGAGACCAGCCTAGGCAACATAGTTACCAACACAGGCAACAAACACCAGCCTCCTCTCTATTAAAAAGTAAATTTAGGCCAGGCATGGTGGCTCACACCTGTAACCCCAGCACTTTGGGAGGCTCACTTGGGATGGATCACTTGAGGTCAAAAGTTCAAAACCAGCCTGGCCAACATGGCAAAATCCTGTCTCTACTAAAAATACAAAAATTAGCCAGGCATGGTGGCGGGCACCTCTAATCCCAGCTACTCAGGAGGCTGAGGCAGGACAATTGCTTGAACCTGGGAGGTGGAGGTTGCAGTGAGCCGAGACTGCACCACCGTACTCCAGCCTGGGCAAAAGAGCAAGACTTTG